GAGGAAGACCGAATTGCGAGAAACGGAATAGTCACCTCTTAACGCTTGGAAGACCGGTTAAAATTTACAACATATGTACTAACTCCCTTACCTGCCTATCCGAACTTTATGCCACAAAGCTACCAGAGGTCGGATTTAGTTCGGACGTGTCCCTCCTACTAACCGCGTTCGAATGGATGAATAAATTGTATTAGCTTCCCATCAAATTTTCTACATAGAGCTTTCTCGTCACTATATGATCGTATTGAGGATGCCTGAAAATCCCCATAAGTATCCTGTTTATTTTCCAGGAGGCTCAATTTTTATGGCTATATTCTAAACAGTCAGCTGAGAGTTGAGCTCTTGTCCATTTTTAGCCGATTGGCATCAAGTATGGATGCATCCAAAGCGCACAAACGACCACTGTAAAGCCAAAGTCAATCCACTGCTAATAAATAGGTATGACTGAGACTGCCACATGCATCAGACAGGCCTGAGGAACCAGCTGTGGTAGGTGTAATATTTTGTTTAATCGACTGTCAATATTCAGCCGAGCCTTACGTCCTCTATTGCCAAATTGGAAGTTTCAGACGCTGTTAATGCGAGTGTCCAGTCTGACACATGACGCCGTCACTCGCGAAAACCGTTTCGATACCAGCATTCCAATTGTTGCAGGCTGGTGTTCGCGAGTTCACAATCAAGTAATCACTCATAAAGATTTCAACACAGACATCCCGGTTGCTGGCATATATGCGTAAGCAAATATAAATACAACAGCGTGGTAGCTGAGTAGCGGAGTTGACTCCAGGTCCTTAGGGATATCAGTTGCTCATGTCCATGGTGGCCAATTCTTCTTAGCTCTTCAGTGACTATTGGTGTGCTTGAGGTGCATCTACATATGATATCAACCAAGAGAGAGAGTAGGCGCAGGTGCGGCTTCAATGCATGTTCTGAAACCAGCCATGAAAAGAGGGGCTTCAAACTTGTAGAGTTAAAGAATGAGCCCTTTTCAAAGCTCCAGGCACCCGTAGCACTCCTCTCACAGAACGACCAGTACAGTAAATTCTATAGTCAACTTGCCGTCGCTCTGTTCTGTCTTCGCAAGAGTGAACTAGTAAAACGAGGTGGCAAGGCGACATATCGTAATTATAAAAGAGAAACATGTTCATTTTGCCATGCGTTCAAGTCAGAGTGAGACAGTGAAATAATTCGAATAGGAAAATAACACTACCTGCAATCCCACAAGGCCCACAAGGGCCCTCACTCATCCCAACTCACCCCGAGGAGACATTCGAATTGATGGAGACAACGGAGGAGCCCCTCGCAGTTCTGCAAGAAGAGGAGACGTGTGCCGTAGTTGGACATTATTTTCACCAGCAAGCAAAAAGCCTGCTCCTCCGGTAACTAACAAGAAAGAAAAAAAGGAAAAAAAGCTTGTGTTAAACCACCTCTCCGTTACAGTCCTCCTCGCTAAAGCGCATATGCTCCTAAGTCTTGGATAGCAAGCCAAAAGATAGCTTTGAAGAACAATAAGAATTGATGCAATAAATTAGCTTAGCATGGCAGTTGCCTTATAATTATTCCAGTTCAAAAATTATCAACTCCAAAACACTTGACGTAGTTTCGGTGACAACCCTTAGATTATTTGAGAGTAGATTGCCGACCCTCCTATTTTAATCTTCGAAATAAATTATAACGAGCCCACGGAGATGTGACCCATTTAAGCAAATAGTGAGATGAATCCCAAAGCACTTTGCGTTAGTTGACTGAAAATGGTCCTATATTTCTCAGGAAGGATAATCTTTGTAAGTGGTTTTGACCATAAAACATTTGTGAGGAAATATCATATCATAAAGTAAAGATACTGTAGGGCTAATGCTGTGCAATGAAAGGTTTTTAGTAATATAAACTGCAGAAAACACATCAGAGGAGGGAACTAAATCTTCACAGCCAAAAATAATAGCCAAGTAAGGCAGGCGAATTAATTGTACTTAAAAGTACAAAGCGTTATTAGAGCAGGAGCAGATGAAAGGTGAGGCCAAAAACGCCTTTACTACTTTAAATAGAGTAATAAGAACACGCATAAAACATCAGTGGTGGCAATAAGAAACTGCAAGTCATCGTAGCTACCAACCTATCGCCATCCGCTTAACAAAATCAGCAGCGTTACCAGTGGGAGCGCCAACTCACATGAAGGAGGAGAGGCGCTGCAATGAATGAGATACCCTGACAATAACCCACAGCCTCGTCGTAGAGCGCGTAGGCTCGTGTGAGTTGAAAAAGTACCTCCTGCCCCTCTCGCTCCTTAAAAAAGTCATGCGCTGGGAGAGTTCGTGGCAAATCTCTCTGGATTTCCACATCGAATCGACAGGGCTAAAAAGAGGGTGAAAGTTAAATCGATGCCTGAATGTATAAAGAATGACGAACCTTTGTGAGCATGATCCGGTAGATCTCAGTTAGTTCCGGATCAATGCCTTGGAACCCAGCCAACATTTGCCATATCACCTTGCGCATGGTGTGAGGAATGCCTCGTCTAACGAGCTGGATAACTCTTCGACCAAGAGCACCATCGGGCAAGGCTTCGGCGCCACTGCGTAACACCACCGACTCGGCAGAGGGAGGTGCTGGCAGTGAAGTCGTCGAGGAGGCAGAAGATTGAATACGAGTGCGCCACTCAGGGATGAGAGAATTCCAAGCGACAAGCAGTTGATCGTCAGTGATGGTGCTTAGATCATCAGCTCCATTTCCACTCATTAGAGGTTCATCATCGTCAACAACGTCGTCTGAAACACCTTCGACATCTGCGGCAGAGACAACATTGTCAGAGCCAGAATGAGAGCAAGAAAATATTACTGAATAGTCGAAAAACAAACAAATCCATAACCAAAAACAGAATGTTGTCTAACCTGTGTTTCGATTGGTTGGTGAGGCTGATCCAGTTTTGGTGCCTAAGGAGGGAGACGAGATACGAGCAACCGTAAAACGGTTCATTCTGATCCAGTTCTTCTCCTCATCCACTTTCTGATAAAAAGAGAAAAAAGTTTGTCAGATGTTGAGAGAACTGACCGTCGGTTAAGCTACTGACCAATTCTTGCCCCTAGCGCAACCATGTTACCTGTCGTTAGTGCCTAATTGGCAATTCTTGAAGAAGCAGGTTGATTGAAGAACACAGTAGACAGACTGATAATGGGGGTGAACGGCAGATCGGTGAACAGTATCACTTCCCTAACTAACTATATAGTCGAGATGATGCAAGCAAGTAATCAAGACGTTTTGAGACCCTTCAAGTCGGATATGTGGCCAAAGGGGCTAAACAGCTCATCAAAAACCCACAATTTTTGGAAAAGAAGAAAACTCAATTATTGATAGCAAAAAAATGTCCAAGTTTTTGGGTTTGAAAAGGCTAAGAACGGAGACAAACCTCAACAAGAACAACGGTAATGTCCTCGCAACAGGGAGTTCGAGATGCAGGAAACCAGGAGAAGGCGTCCTTTTGGAATACCTTGGCACGAAATACGCAGCTTACTCTAACGGGCTCGGTGACCAACTCCAGCGCCAGGTCAAAAACCACCGTAAAGAACACGAAGCATTCTAAACGTATGGGGATTTATTTTGACCGCACCAGTCTTAGTATTATTTTACCGATTCTTCTAAACACACGGGATTAAATGTGCCTTCAATTTGTGTCTCTACTACCACGGGAATGCGGAAGGGGATGCACAGTTGGAAGTTTTAGTGAGCGACGAAAATAGTCTTTTATTCTTTACCATAGACGCAAAGATTTAATACGAAAGCTAACGATGGAGATTAAAGACTCCAATTGTTATCCCAAAGTTGTCACACCTTAGCTTACCATTTCAGCAACTTTACTGGGTCAAAAATCCTTCAAAATTTTAATAAATTACAGAATCTCTCAGCCGGTATTTTTGCAAACCTCAAAACAGGAGGTTTCCGGCTTGGCAAATATAGAATACATATTTAAGACTTAAGTGGAATATTCAGCTGTGAAGCCTAACCACACGTACCGCGATCAGTAACAGTGTTTAAGAGTTTGAATTGAGGTACTTGAGGTGACCAGGGCGCCGTGGTGACAAAGGCTGAAGCTTCAGGAATAAGGGATGCGGCTTCATCAGGGGGCAACGAAGCAAGATTTGTGGCAAGTTCGGTTACATCGGAGGTATCAATGTAGCGACCACAAGCCAATCCAATGCTGGGGCACCTGAGGAAGTTGTAACAGAATGCGAACATTTTCTTCGACCACCAAAAACGACCTCCTTTGCCATCAAATCGTCCAGCTATGAAATCTGTCAACTTGTGGACCAATTCCTACTTCAAAAATTAGGAATAATTGGAAGTTCTACGACATTCATTACGCTGATTAATACCTTCCCAAGCCTCGATATTACGTATGTGATTCGTAGCGGTGCAAGAACAAGCTATTCCAAAATTTGGGCACAAAAATGAGGAAATGGATAATTTCGCTACTGCTCGTCACAATGTACATGGATGAGACAAATGGTGACGTAACATCAACTACTCATAAATCAGGAGTAGCAAAAACCAACTTGACAACACGCAGGGGTGGAACATCGACGCTATCTTCCGCTTGACTCACTCCGATGACCAGAATTTTCTCGAGGTTTTGGCTGAATCTGAAGATATTCGACTTCTCCTTCGGAACAGAGATACTTTCGAGCGAAGGCTTGGTGTCTAACTCTCGCATATCAACGTACACACGGAAGCTGTGAAGAAAAGCGGGCCACATGCATGTCAATGAGTGGAAAGTGGTAGACATTTCAATCTACTTGGTGATTTGACAGTAATGTCCAAACACCCTACCAAAAGAGGTTTAATGGCGTAGCTATATTTTTATAGCACAAGATTGGTGGAACTCAGCGAGATTATAGCAAAATTAGCTGAAACCAAAGTGAATTAAGTAGGGAGCGGTCCTACACGAAATACTGGCTTACCTAGCAGGTTTCTTAGAGATACCACATCATTAATGAAGTGAACAAAAACCTTCCCCATGTAGCTGTAAATCGTTTTCTTATCGTTCGGTATTTCTCGAGACAGAGGAGACAACTTCCGAGAACAATTTATAGCAATCAAGTTAAGGTAATAAATAAAAAAAATGTTTTTTAAATGCGTTTGGGAGGCAAGCGCCTGCTGTACTTTAAAGCCCAGGCCATGCAATGCACTTAGTTTAGGAGCAAGTGGTGAAATGAAAGAACAAACATTGCAACGGAAGGTGGTGAAAACTTTTTTTTGAGAGTGAGAGCATCAGATACAGATGATGATAATGATATAAAAAGTACTTTGCTAAGGGGCCCAAACACTACAAAATACTGAGATCCAAAGACGAGATTTCAAGTATCAAGTCTGACCAAATATTCACAAATTTATCGGTATGGCGCTCCTCGATGGGCCTTCTGTACCTTCCATTTGTGGTGAAACTTCGTATCAACAAGTGACAGCCAATTATAATTGATACGTGTCTTGGAAATAGCGGGTGGGTTGGTTTGCGGTTGGCTGGAAGCCCAACGGTACGCATGCTGAGAGTCGAAAAACATACGGGAAAGATGTTTTCACGCGGCACAATATGTGGGTGTGCAAGTAAAATGTCACCTCCGGATAACACCAGGACCGATGGAGCAGGCAAAGGCCATCTGTTTCACGCCTTCGTGCATGTAAAGACCGCGAGATGGGTGAACAGTACCACCTCACCTCACCTCACCAGTCGTTAACCTTATGCAAAGATTTTCCAAAATAGGGATTACGATATTTGCTTGCCAGCTGCACAAAAGGAGCTAAAAGAGAGGTGAGCTAGAGGATGCCAGATGTGGATGACTACGCGGCATGCAATCCCAATGTGCGAAACACGTATGAAGTTATGTCTGTCTTAAGCTTTCATCCCTCCGTTAATATCTGGAAGAACGACTTGTCTTCGCTTGACAATCACCCGAAACATTAATGTTGATCCCTTATTCTCATTTAAAAGTGAATTTGAAAAAAAAATTGCCGTAAGGTTTGATGTCCAAAGCACTAGAAAATAGTAAGACCGGAAAGCATTCCAAAAGTCGTTATGGTAACACTCTTTACCAGACACAAAATACATTTCAACTTTAAATCGAAAGGGATAGAAAGTCCTACTTTTCTTCTTTGCGTCTGGGAGAAAATAGAGATGCTAGCGCCAATAATGAACTGCCAAGTAAATGTTACCAGAATCATTGACTTCACGCATAAAATTCCGCTTATATAAATAATGGCTTGCATGACATGCAATCATGGAGGAGTTTTGGCCAACAAAATTATCCAATCGAAACATAAGTTTTTTTGAGGAACATCATTCGTTAGTCTATCATCACAGGATCCCACCTCTAAACCTCCAAAGGGATATTGTTCCCGTGAAACCATATTGCTCGTGATTATCACGAACGCCGAAGAGGTAGCCAGTTATCACATGAATATTAAAGCATTAACACTCCAACTTTGCTCGTATATGGAGAAATATGGGAAAAAGTGAAGCAGGCAACTTTGGATTAGCACCGATTCCAATTTTAAAATTTATAAAGAGACCACAAACGCACCGGACTATATGTTCCATAGGACGGGCGGCGATCACGGGGGCTGTATTCATTTCCGAAAACACAGAGGGAGTTTGAGTTCGTCGAGTCATCTCGCCGATGCAAGCAACAATTCGCTTGGCCTGAAAAGCAGATTAGCGAGGATAATGAAGAATCAAAGCTTACCAGCTGGCAAACAAAAAAATGCACATTACGACGACTTTGCGAGGAATGCAGTACAATGCATGTGACCAGCTATAGCAGCCCAAAAAACTACATTACAGACATATGTCATCCGCTACAAAGAATGACACCCAATTAAAGGAAATACTGGATTTATTTTCAAATAACTCCAGATTGGCACATAAATATACAGTTAACCAATCGCAACTGAAATCGCAACACCCCATTAAAGCAGACGGAGAGAGCATGGGCAGGGTGATTGGGCATTTCGTAGTGAAAGATTTAATACGATGAAATGTGATTAAGGTCAAGCAGGAACTGCTCAAAAGAAAAAACAAAAAAACTAGGCAGAGACAATTTTGTAAAGAACAATTTTTAACGCAACACCATAAAATCATGTTCGCAAGCAAAAAAATGCCATCCAACAATCCCTATTTTTGCAATAAAGAGGTATTGTTTTGCAATATTATTATGCCTTCATATGTACCATTTCACAAAACAACTAACATTGATGACTGCTAAAAAACAGCTACACAACGTCACACTGGTAATGTGAACCACATTCAGCGCGTTACTGCTCCCAACTGCAGTGAGAGTTTGACGCGGTAACACCACACCCCCACAGTGAGTGAAGACGCGACTTGGTGGTGGATGGGACGTTGCGCTGAATGCCTCCAGGCAAACAATCGTGCACAACTAAGTGTGCGCAAACACAATATGATGGCCAAAGTCCCTACCACATGTTTCGAGTACATGAGCACACCCAAATTGTTTGTTTTCAAGTCTTTTTCGGATTGCCTTCGACGTTGGAACACTTGGCAGACTGCTTTAATCGCAAGAGCTACACGCGTATAACCGAGACGAACATATGTGGTGCGTTTATAGACCAGATAAAAGGCATCGGTCTGATGCTTGTTTTGCAGAAATTGCCTC